CAGTTATGGAATGAAATAATGTTTTTGAGTACTATTGAATAATATACGTTTAAAAGTGTGTAGTTTTTTTATAACCAAAGCGTATATAAATTAATAGGAAAGTTTGTCTTCTTCTCTATGCTAGTAACCCATATTTGTTTATGATATTAAATGTTTCAAAATATCTCCAAGTGTGACATTACCCTGCCGTTCTCGTCTGATGTGTGTGCGGGTGGGTCTCGGTCAGTCCGTTTTCGTTTTTTGGCTGGGCTTGGGGAGGCTTGTTGTTGGTTCTTAATGGAATTTTAAAAAAAGTAATATTAATATATATATATATGTGAAATTAGCAGTTATACTGCTTACAGTTTATAAAGCTTATAATGACTGTGTGTGGCCAGGATAGCGGTACGACTGGTTTCCGTTGGTGGCATAACGACGTGTCCAATGTTTTGTTAATGATCAGGTATGAGACGCATTCGCTGTCGCAAGGCTGTCGCTGTAGAAACATGCCGTGAGTTTACAATATACATGGCCACTTATAAAGAAAGAAAACTTCTCAATGGGGCTATAAATTTTAGTTATTAATGGCCGCTCATGGTGAGAATGCCATAAATACGTAAACAAATGCAAATGTCATCTCAAAAGCTATTATTACAATATTCGCATCATTATGAAATAGAAACAAATACACAGTCAAAGTAATAGAAAGTCGTCATACCTTATCAAAATTTCTTTATGCACGGCAGGCGTTCCTTCGTTGGTTGGCAGGAGAGATTCCGCTCTCTCGTCTCCACTACGGCCAGTTATGCTGGTTGACCTGCTTGGCATGCTTGCTGTTTCGGTAGCTCTGCAAAATAAAATAGCTGTAAGTTTTCTCGAGCAACTTGGTAAACGTATGGTAGTGATTGTAAAATTATGAAGGAGAAACTAGTTTTAAAATCATGTGGATACTGCACCGTCCTATTATCAATGCTCCTGATTAGATATATATTCATAATTATATAAAGCCTGCTAGTTTATATATATATATATATATTTATTTATTTATTTATGATTGCAATTGCATGACTGCTCGTGTTATTCAGAGGAAACTGTAAATAATTTATGTCCTAGAAAAATCCCTGCCGGAGTGTATTCGGTTGTGTCATGTTTCACCGAGTTCAAATCAAATTGTAAGTCGTCTAAGGGAATGTTCAAAGTTCTATGGTCTGCTGTGACATATGATTGCAGCATAGCTTTAATATTACGGTTTACTCTTTCTACCCAATTCGATTGGGGTCTGTACTTGGTTATAAATTTGTGCAGTATCCCCCACCGTTTGCAAACGGCCGCAAAGACTTTGGAAACGATCTGTGACCCATTGTCCGAGATCAGCTAGGGAGGGGGAGGCAAAAATCAAGCAAAACGATCTGTCCATGCTTAACGCCACATTTCTGTCTATGGCCTTTCCTATAGGAATGAGCTGAGACCATGTTTAAGAGTGATCAGTAACTACCAAAATTTATTCATGTTTTCCATATGATAAGGGCAAGGGTCCTATTAGGTCAATAGCGGTGCAAAAAAATGGGCTTCAATGAACGACGGCTGTCGAACCTCCAGCCACTCCGAACTTAGTTCTAGTACTATAGCCAGCGTACAGTTGCCGCAGGCC